CAGTCAGACTGCCCGGGTCGTAACCTGGCTCTGCTACTCAGTAGCTGTTGACCTTAACAAATTACCTAATTCTGTGGCTCATTTCATTGCATCAAAAATGGGATAATAAATAGGTTGATGTGATGATTAAATAAATAAACATACAGTAAAAACTGAAAATTGTGCTCATTGAGTGCTGTCTACGTTCTGACTGTTATTATTCTCATCAGTAAGAGCAGCTGCTGCTACAGATGATATGCAGTCTTCGGGGGGGATAGAGAGTCTAAAGAAAGAAGAGAGGAGAACAGAGATCCCAAGTCCACACCTTGACGAATCCCAACAGCAGACGTCGGGGAAAACAACAAAGGGAACTAAAAGGTTCCCTGTCTGTGAGGTAGGGAAAGTGTCATGGAAGCCACAGAGGAGGGGCTGTGAAGAAGGCCCAAATCTTTGCTGACACAGACTCCCATCCAGCTGGCGGGGGTGGTGTAGCAATGGTGGGTCCCTAATGCCAGTGGCTCTCCTAGGTCCAGTTAATGTTCAGGGAGGAAGACAATTCTTTTGAGAGTACCACCTTTAGGGACTTCTTTCTGGTGTTTTAGCATCCCTTTCACATTTCTCATTTTTTACCTCTATTTCAACAAATAAAAATATAGGGTAATATATATGGTATATTCAGAGCAATCTTGAAGGTCGAAGGAAAAAGGAAGGGCTTCTGTAGAAAGAGCTTCAATAGGGAAAATAGTACTATCAGGATACATTTACCTGCTCACTATGCAGAGCCTCTAGCAACATTAAAAGAAGAGAGCATGTTATTTTCTCAAGTAGAGCTTCTCCCTAAGTCAGACTCCAAAAATAAGCCACCACTCTAAACTCATCCATTTATGACTTTGGAAAGCACAGAGACTAAAATGCAGCATAAGTTTTCTTTTCACTAAAGGAAAACCTCCTGCTGGTGAGCTGGTGGGGAGGGAGTTGTTTGTTTGATTAGATCAAACAAGTTTGGAAAATAGAAAGCACACGGACATTCAACGTGTATATGAAATGTGTATATGCATTTTTGGGGGAGCCTTGAACTAATGTTTGAAAGCTTTTGTCAACCAAAAAACTAAATACCAGGTTCTATTTTTGGGAATGTGTCGCTGAATAATTTCATCGTCAGTACTAACTGGTGATGACAAGAAGGTGGTCGTGGATTCTGGTTTTGGATACGAATACCTGTTGAGTTGTGTTCCACGCACACTTGACCTCAGCTGTCTTCTGGGGAGGGGATAGGGAGGGAGGAGAGTTTTTGTCAGCATGTAGCTGAAAACTGTGCAAATTCATTGCCACGAACAAGGTGCCCTGAAACTAACACTGCCCAGGGGCATAAATCCCAAGCATCCCATATTGATACGCAATTAACCTGCTGCCTAGGTTTCGTTCAAGGTAGAAATGTTACCTTCTCCTGATTATGAAGATCATAGAAGATCACCGTAAAAAGATGCAGACAGCATAGGAAGGGACGAGGCAGAGAGTGCATAGCTCCCCCCAGGAGAAGATGTGTCAAGGGTTTGGTAGAACATTCTTCCAAACACATTCATGTTAATCCATTTCCCTTGATTTTAGGATTCATATTTTAAACTTTTCACATTTCTGACATCTGTCTGCATCTTCAAATTGATAGATATAGTTACAATAGTGTTTGTCTTATTATTATATCATGCTATGCAGCTGTTAGAAATAAGGCAGCTCTATAGGTAGCGACATGGAAGGAGTGCCAGACATACTAACTGAAAAAAGAAGAGTACAGACAGTGTGTGTCCTAGATTATCATTTATATATATTTTTTTAAAGTATGGATACTTATATGTTGGTATACTCATTTTTCATTTGTAGAAGGAATTATAAAAAGTAGGTAAAGGTTATCTGTAAAGGTGAAGGTGGAGAGTAGAAAGGGACCTTTTCTCATTGTATATATCCTTTTCATCTTTTGAATGTTTACGTTTTACTTTTTTTAAAGTAATTGATTCATTAAAAAGCAAAAAAAGAACACTACATATTATTATGGACACATGTGCATGAAGTGAATACACAAAATTACATATAGGGAGGACACATACCAAATTCATTGTAGTGCTTGCCCCTGAAGGAGAGGGAGGGAGAGGAATGGTCTGATGAAAGGAGACACCACATGATGCTGTGGAGTTTTTTTTTTTGAGGAAGATTAGCCCTGAGCTAACATCAGCTGCCAATCCTCCTCTTTTTGCTGAGGAAGACTAGCCCTCAGCTAACATCCGTGCCCATCTTCCTCTATTTTATATGGGATGCCTACCACAGCATGGCCTGACAAGGGGCGCATAGGTCCGCACTCAGGATCCAAACTGGCGAACCCCAGGCCACCGAAGCAGAACGTGCGAACTTAACCACTGTGCCACTGGGCTGGTCCAGCTGTGAAGTTTTAATTCTCATAAAATTATCTTAAGCAAATATGACAAAATATTAACTTTGTTAATGATGAGTGGTATGTACATGAGTATGATATTATTCACCAGTACTTTTTTGAATAAAAATTTTGTTCAAAGTGTAAAAATTGAAATAAAAATAACATTTCATGGGTACTACTGATGAAAGTGGGGATGAAAGCCATTGTCCTCACACAGCCATCAGAACTGTTAAAATTAAAAAGGCAACAACACCAAATGTTGGAGAGGATATAGAGCAACTAGAACTCTGATACAATGTTGGCAGGACTGTAAAATGGTACAACCACTTTGGAAAATGGTCTGGCAGTTTCTTATAAAACTAAATGAACGCGAACCCCATGGGCCAGCAATCTATTCACAGGTATTGACCCAAGACAAGTGAATATATGTCCACAGAAGGACTCGTAAGAATATTTACAGAAGCTTTTCACAAAAGCCAAAAACTAGAAACAGCCTAGCTGTCCATCAACAGAAGGCTAGATAAACAAACTGGTCCATCCATACAAAGAAATGCTAGTCAGCAATAAAAACGGAACAAACTACTGAGACATGCAATAACATATTTACGGCTCTCTAAAACACTATGCTGAGTGGGAGAAACCTTACACAAAAGAGTGCATACTCTACAAGTTTATTTACATGAGGACCTAGAAGAGGCAAAATAAATCTATGGTGGGAAAAATCAGAACAACGGGAGGGAGGCTGTGAGAAGGGTGGGAGGTTGACCGGGAAGGCGCATGAGAGAACTTTCTAGGGTAACAGTAACGCTCCATAGCTTGACAGGGCTTTGGGTTACACAGCTGTATTATTTGTCAAAATTCAGTAAACGTTTACTTAAGATATGCGCATTTTACTGTGAATAAATTTTGCCTCAAAAGGAAAAATAATCTGTAAGTGAATATTGAACTCTGGTTAATAATAATGCGTGTTGGACTATTTAGGGGGAAGTGTACTAATGGTGCATTGACTCTGAAATGCATAAAAAAAGATGGATTGATGCACAAATGCATCAACATGAGATAAAACAAGAATGGTTAAACGTTAATGGTAGAATCTAGGGGGCAGGTATAGAGATGTCCACTGTAGAATTCTTTCAAATTTTCTGTATGTCTGAAAATTTTCGTAATATGCTGAAAATAGCTAAAACATACTTCTAGTTAAGTTGCTTAACACACACACACATTACATATAGCAGGGAATTCTTTGTCATTACATATTGGTCTACCTTATTAAGTCAGTGATTTTCAAGGGGACTTTATGGGCATTATATTAAATTTCTGGGACCATCACATAAGAGACTCTACTTAAAATAAGTAAAGTAAATACTGAACGTACTTCTTGATTTACAAACATGAAACCACACTGCACGTAAGGCTGGCTTCTAGGAACAGCCCAATGCCTCTTCCATGGCCAACTCTAACCATTCACCCTATTCGCCAAAAGAAGAGAAAGCGGCATTCTGCTACATTCATCAGGAGAGTGAGTGGTCATCTCAAAGGGGATGAAAGCCACTGTCTCCATGGACACCATCTCTCTTCTCTTGCTTCATTCTCTGAGGTGGCGTAAAGCAGGCCCCTCCCCGACCCCATGCCACTTTACCTCCACACGAGCTGGCATGGCCAGCCCAAGAAAGGGACACATCTGCTCTCTCTTATGAAGGCTCTGCCTCTTGCTCAGGTGCTGCTAGGTGTACACTAGATCAGCCAGCCTCACAGGCTCATTAAAGCTAAGCTGAGGTTTAAGTTGGGAAAAGCATTTGAGGCTCTGGCCTTTAGCACAGCAAACGCAATCCAGGGTTCAGCCCAGCTTACTGAACTAGCGCAATGGGGTCACGGTCAAAGCTCCAGCCAGACGCAAAGCCCTTCCTCACCTCCTCTTTGACTAGCTCTGCCATGGTGCCTTGTGTCTCTGCGTGCACGCAGGTATCCATCACTCAGGGGCATCAATAGGAGGAATGGCAGCAGGGTAGGGCAGACGCCTTGATCACAAGATCCACTAACAGCATCCTAATATCAGAAATTTTAAATATATACCATTTCTTACCTTTTTTCCCCCTTAACTATAGACTAGGTACATCTTTCCAAGTCTAAACATACAGGATTTCTTTACCTCATGCTTCCCAGTCATACTGACTTTAAGGAGGAGTTTCTGAGCATCTTGGCCCAGTGATTATTAAAGCAGATGTAGTAAGACCAAGGCCTTCAGGCTCTGTTATCTTCCTCCACCAGAACACCTAGAAGGTGGGGCCCTGTGCATAAGGGCCACCCAAGAGGTCTTTGTATTGGTCACTCTGTGACATTCGGTATTTTCTGTATATGTGCATTGTTACAACAGCCCAAAAAGTGACCCAGTCCATCAGTATCTGGTATAAAGGTTGCTGAAAAACATAGCTTAGCAGATTTTTTGCTTCCTAATGAATTGAATGACTAGACGTTTCTGCATTATATAAATATACTTCAGTTTTCTATTTATAATACAGAATAATGGATAAGAAATGATGAAAAGAGAATTTTGGAATTGGCAAGTTACTGAATTGCTATTTTTTATCATTCTTACCTCATTTGAAGGAATCGTGGCAAAGGGTTTGATGACAGCAGCTAACGGAATCTGAGCTTGCTTGGCCATATCTGACGTGCACGGGAAACAGTATGTCGTGCAACGGATATATCGAGGACTAGCATTGCCTGAAAAATGCAAAGGGATACACTTAAAATGTGCTTAGAAAAAAATCTACCGCACACTATTTAAATATTTATAAAGGTACTTCTAGACAATGCATTGCCTCATTTGTAAAACTTTCTTCATGATTGTGAAAACAGAAGAAGGGCAGTACTGTGCAATTCTACAATCTATATTCTAGGCAAACTATAGGTTTTTTGTGAAATAAAACACTCTGAATCCTAGTGCAAAAAATATAAAAGAGGTGCTTTAATTATTATTATATTATATGTAGTATATTTTATTATATGTAGTATATTATATATTTTACTATTATTATTATTATAAACAGGGTCTTAATAGTCAACTCACAGACTTGAGGGGTGTTTACACTCAATGGAAGAAATAAAGCAAAGGCACAAAAACATGAAAGAATGAAATTTGTTCTTCATCCTCTTCTATCACCACATCTGCTATGGAAAAGGTAAGGATTTGAACACCATTTCATATCTGCAAGTGATATTTTGTCAAACATGATTCCATTTGATGGGTTTTTTTCTAAACTTGGGAACTGAATTAGAAATGAAAATTCTACTTGTACTAGAAATCCTTTTTTTTTTTTTTAAAGATTGGCACCTGAGCTAACAACTGTTGCCAATCTTCTTTTTTTCTTTTCTGCTTTTTCTCCCCGAATCTTCCCAGTACATAGCTGTATATTTTAGTTGTGGGTCCTCCTAGTTCTGGCATGTGGGACGCCGCCTCAGCATGGCCTGATGAGCGGTGTCATGTCCGGGCCCAGGATCCGAACCAGCGAAACCCTGGGCCAACCAAGCAGAGCGCACAAACTTAACAACTCGGCCACGGGGCCAGCCACTAGAAATCTTATTTTTAAAAACACCCTAATCTATTTTTAATATACATTAGGTTTTCTGACCAAGTATCTTTATTTCATGGCATACATGAGTATTAAAACAATATCCATGGCATGAAGAATATTTTTGAATCACTAGAATAACTTATCTAAAATAAATTTTGAAATTAAATTATAATACATTATGATCAAAAGAACGTAATCATCAAACGAACACATACTGAGGTCTATACTAGGTTGTAGAAACTGGCCTAAGAGCTTCCCTGTAGAGCATGTGTTCTTAGAGAGACAATAAACGGTAAACCTAATAAATGAGTGAGTTACATAGGCCATCAGAAGATGATAAATGCTATGAAAAAAGCACATGCAGTTAAGGCGTACCATAGTGGGAGGCAGACTACAATTTTAAATAGTTACAGAGTAGGCCTTATTTAAAAGGTAACATTTGAGCAACGACTCCAAGGAGGCGAGGGATTTACCCAGGCAGGTATCTGCAGGTAGGGCATGCCTGGCCTGGTGGAGGGACATCAGGAGGCCTGTGCGGCTGGAATGGAGCACAAGTGGGGCACAGCAGCTGGTAAGGAGTTCAGAGAAGTAGCAGAGACCAGATCAGGCAGATGCTTGAGACCATTTGAAATCCTCCGCTTTTCACTCCGAGTGAAACGGGGAGCCACTGCTGGGTTTTGAGCAGAAGCGTGTCATGATCTGACCTAGGCTCACTCTGCCTATGGTTTTGAGAATGGACCGCAATGGGGAGGAAGAGAACCAGAGAGACAAGTTTGGAGGCTGTGCAGCAACCAGTGAGAAATGCTGCCGGCAGGGACCAGCCTGATAGCAGCAGAGGTGTTGACAGGTGGCCAGAGTCTGGACAGATTTTGAAGGGACAGTGACTTACTCGTTGATGGGCATGACGTATGAGGTGAGAAGACAGGAGGTGTGAAAGAAAGAGAAGGTCAGGGATGACTCCAAAGTTTTTGTCCTGAGGAACCAGAAGCATGAAGTTGCCATGAAATGAAACGAGAAGGGCTGCAGGGAAGGGGTCTTCAATGGGTACACGTGGGCAGAGATCAGGAATCTGGGAATCTGACTTTGGACACATGGAATTTGGGAAATCTATTAAGCAATCACAAGTGATGTTGAGTAGACAATTCAATATGTGAGTCTGGGCACTGGGTGGAAAGCTGGGCTGGCAATACACATTTGGGGGTTCTTGGCATCTCCACGGTATTTGAAGCCACAAAACTAGACGACAACCACCAAAGGAATCATCGTGGCCAGAGAAGAAAAGACGACTGAGGACTGGGCCCTGTGTCCTCCAACATAAAGAAGTCAGAGGAAATGGGAAACCAGCTAAAGGATTGAGAAGGATGAAAACGAGGAATGTCTGGTGAGCTGGAGGAAGAGAGAGTTTTGGTGGAATGGGGCAGTTGGGGGGGGGGGGTCTGCTTAGAGAGAGTTTAAGAGAGAAAGAAAGGGGGGGACTTGGCAATTATCCTTTCAAGTTTTGCTATGGAGGGGAGCAAAGAATAGAGGGGGGACTGGTATAGGAAGTGGATCAAGAAAACATTTGTATTTTTTCAGATAGGAGAAGGCTTTTTCAAAAAGATGGGAATAATCCTGTAAAAAGAGAAACACCAATAATATGAGAGAACGAGGGGAGACTTATGGTAAGAATACACTGGAGTGGTGCACAGTGGGAGAGGCTGGCTCTCAGCCAGAGCATAGGTCGCTCCTTTATGGCCAGAAGCAGGGGCACATGACACAGGGGCTGGATGTGATGGAGAATCCCTGGAAGCTCTCTTCTGATTGTGCAGTTTTCTCAGAAAGGAGGAAGTAAGAGCAGCTAAAAGAAAGGGATAGGAGAGGAGGCGTCCCAGATCTCAGGAGAGAGTATGAAGCAGTGACTAATTGTAGTAGAAAAGTGAGAGGACTCAGGGGGTACAGGGCGCTGGGAAGTTCGTGGTCCTGAGTTCAAACAGATGCTGCAGCAGGCTGGGAGCCTGTCGGGCCGTGTGCTGCTGTACAAGTGGGCCCAGAATGAGTGGAAGGTTGCACCTAAGAAAGCTGAGTTTCTTCTTTTCATCTTTAATCTATTATTGCCAGATTTTATGTGTTTTATAGGACCAGCTAGAAATAGGAATATTTCTATTATAAATATTTCTATTTATAAATATTTCTATTTATAAATATTTCTATTATAAATATTTTTTCACATAAAATATTCTGGTTTTTACATCATGGCAACTACTTCAAAGAGAAACAAAACAAAATATTGTGTACGACAAATTAACATGACTGCAGGCTGAATCCGGTTTGGGGCTCTGCGGCAGAGGGTCTGAGAGACGGCAGAAAGGTGGTACCAACAACAAGGATAACAATAACAACAGTACGTGCCAATGTGTCAGGCATCACTATAAACATGTCACATCACGTGTAAACTCATTTTAGTCTCACAATCGCGCTAGGAGATTGACACCCTTAGGACCCCATTTTGCAGAGAAGAAAACTGAGACCCCAGGAGGTTAAGTGACTTGCCAAAGGTCAAAAGGTTAGTAAGTGACAAAAGTGGTACCAGACCCTCTCACAATCCTCTACTGTATCCCAGATAAGTTGGGTCCAGGTCATGAAGGCTGTGAATTTTGGATGAGGTGTTAAGCCAGTCCTGTTGCCCATGAGCAATGATGCGACATTTTTTTCAGCAAGGGCAAGATGATCACATAAATACTTGAAGAGAACTAATCTACCCAGAATGTAGCAGACAGCTTCTGGGAGCAGGAAAATATTAGAGACAGGAAGACTGGTCCACTGCCGTAAGATTCCAAGTGAACACTAATACAGGGTAAAACAAGAGTTTGGGGAGCAGGAATAAAAGAAAAAGAAAGTAATAAATGTGAATATGCTTCAACCCCTGTTATTGTTTATTTCATATAACTTAGACAAAATCTTCCTCATTATCATCACACAATTTTATACAGACTGTGAAATAAGAATTTTGGAATATTTTAATTTTTAATTGCACTCAATTTTTACTAGTTAAAATTACCAATAACATATTGAAATCAAGTATTTGTTATCTTTAAATGGTTTTTTTTTTACAGGGAAATATGCATATGAATGAGCTCATGAAGGTGACTAAACAAACTTTTGTTTCAGGAAGATAATGCACACAAAGAATAAAATTTTTAAAAAGCAATTGAGTGTTTTTATATACACAGGTATGCAAAAGTCGGGTACGAGAGATATGGCTATAGTAGATAATTTAACAATCTCAGTAATTAATATTCAAAACTCTTTGAGATGCTTAATAAACAGCACTATGGGATAATCTGAGTGAAAAACATTCAATACATTGTTCATTCAACAAATGTTTATGAAGCTAAGCCCCATACTAGGGGCTTAGAGAGACAAGAAAGTGAAGCCTCTGGTTTCAAGGTCTAGTAGGAAAGAGTGATAATAAAAACAGATAACTGCAACAAATCATGGTAAGTACTACAGAAGAGCAAATCGATTAAGAGGCAGCCATGTGGATCAGTGGTGACTACACAAATGATGAGGTGCTTGAACACGATCTCATAGGATGGGCAGAAGCATAGAACCAAGGGACAAGTTGAGTCCTAAACTAGATCCCGTAGCCCAAGGCAAAGGAGTAATACTTGTAAAGTAGGTGCTTTTCTTTATTGGCTCCACCGCTAGCCAGCTGCGTGGCCATGGACAAGTCACGTAACCTCCCTGGGCCTTAGTGCCCTCATATCTGTAAAGTGGGACAGCTGAGCAAATGAAGGCCAAGGTTCCTTCTGACTCTATATTCTATTTATGTCTGTGAATTTTTGCACGTCTGAGATCCTTGGGCTACATCCTAAACCATGTACTAGTAAGTGTTAGCTAATAAGCCAGGCCAGACAAGGGGCTTCACAGCAAAGCGGTGTGACTGGGCCAACTTCAGGGCTCCATTCCAGGGCAGCTCTCTCTTCTTGCCAGGGGCTGGGCTGCAGGCTAAGGAGAGATGATGATGATCTGGACCCCACCACCTCGCTAGTCCTTCCTTCTCTTCCTACTCCTCCCTTCACAGTCTTTCCTTACATGTACCATAGGATCCAGCAAGTCCACTTCCAGGAACAGACCCAAAGGAATTGAAAGCAGGGACTCAAAAAGATGTTTGTACATTGATGTTCGCTGCAGCCACACAGCTGCTATGGCTATTCACAACAGCCAAAAGGTGGAAACCACACAAATGTCCTTCAATAGACAAATGGATAAACAAAATGTATATACATAAAAGTGAATATTACTCAGCCTTAAAAAAGAATGAAATTCTGATAAATGCTACAACATGGATGAACCTTGAAAATATTATGCTAAGTGAAATAAGCCAGACACAAAAGGACAAATATTGTATGATTCCACTTACATGAGGTGCCCAGAATAGGCAAAGTCATAGACACAGAAATTAGAATAAAGGATACCAGGGACTGGTGGGGTGGAAGACTGGGGAGTTACTGTTTAATGGGGACAGAGTTTCAGTGTAGGATGATCAAAGTGTTCTGGAAATAGACAATAACGAGGGTTGTATAACATCATGAATATAATTAATGCCACTGAACTGTACACTCAAAAATGGTTAAAATGGCAAATTTTACTGTACGCGTATTTAATCACAATAAAAAAAATCATCTGTAAGTTCAAAAAGAAAACAAAACAAAACAAAAATCACAAAGAACTCTGCATGTGCTGTTCCTTAACATGCATGCTCTCTCCAGCCGCCATGCTTTCACGTAGTCCACCTCCTCTGCCTGGCAACCCTTTTCCTCTCCCAATCTCCCCACTTCTCCTCTGGTTTACACGTGCTCACTCAAGGCTCGGCTTGGCTGTCCCCACTCCAGCAGGATAGGCTGGGTGAGTTATCTGGTTAGTTACTTCACATTTAGGTTCCCATGGCAATATGCTTTTTATCCTTCTACAACATTTACCACACTGTATTAATATTTAGTTATATTTTTCCCTGCCAGATTGTGTACTCATTTAAAAATAGAAGCTTGTCTTTTATTTCTGAATAGAGGCAGCAGGTGATTGGTTAAGAATATGGGTTCTAGCATCAGAATGCTGGGGTTCAAATTCTAGCTTTGCTTCCTGCTAGCTATGCATCTTGGGTAAGTCACCTAAGCACACTGTCCCTTAGTTTCACACTCTATAAAATGAGGATGATATTAACGCCTATCTCATAAAGTTATAGGGCAGATTAAATGAACTAATCCAGATAAAGTGTTGAGAAGATTGTCTTGATGCATAGCAAGCACTTATAAACATAAACCACAATAGTAATGGGTACTGAATAAGTACTTGCTAAATGCATGCATCAATGAGTGAATGAATGAATGAACAAGTGGGGCCCTGCCCCCAGGTAGCTCACAGTCTCTTGGGAAAGACAGACCCAAACCACAGTAAAATCTAACGGGATGGGGCTATAATGGAAGTGTATGCAAAGCACTGTAGGGGAAGTAATTGGAGATTTCAAAGAAAAAATTTAAGCTGAGTTTGGAAGAACTAAGAATTTCCCAAGTAAATGGGTGACAGTTATATATTCCAAGGACATTTGTTCAGTAAATATGTACTGGGCAACCATTATGTTCTAGATACCAGGTGAGTGTCTAGGAATACAATGGCCAACAAGAAACAGTCCGTAGTCTGTTGCAGAGAAAATAGCACAAAGTGAGAATCAGAGATACGAGGGGAAGTATGAGTGGGAAACCTGAGGCAGACATAAAGGAGGAAAAGGTGGGAGATGAGGCTGTTCAGGAATATTATTTAGGTTGTAAGGAGCCTCAAATACTATTTCATATTTATTTAAAGTACTAAATGAACAAATAAATATTAAAAGCACTTATGTAACACATACTATTAGATTAAAATGAAATTGCCTTTTTTTTTTTTGAGGAAAATTAGCCCTGAGCTAACTACTGCCAGTCCTCTTTTTTGCTGAGGAAGCCTGGCTCTGAGCTAACATCGTGCCCATCTTCCTCTACTTTACACGTGGGATGCCTACTACAGTACAGAACACCAAGCGGTGCCATGTGTGCACCCGGGATCTGAACCGGCGAACCCCAGGCTGCCGAGAAGCAGAACATGCGAACTTAACCGCTGCGCCACCAGGCTGGCCCCGAAATTGCCATTTTTGTGGGTCAACAATGATAGGAAAATGTCAGAAATTTCACGTAGGTCCAACCTACTATACACCAAGTCCTACGTGCTTTACTAATGGGAACTCAACTAACAAGTTTGAATGGATTCTGCAAGTAATAAGGGACAAATTATTTTTAGAATAGGAAGTAATGTAATGTGAATTGTGTTTTAATATTAATATCTAAAACAATAACATCATCTGTAATTTATATTAAACCCTTCTACATGTCAAGCACCCTACATACACATGAGCATACTTACATGAACACACACACACACAGAGTCACCTCTAAGCCTTACCCTGGCCCTGCAGGGCAGGTCTTAATCCTCCCATTTTACAGAGGTGACACTGAGGTTCAAAGGGTGAGATGAGCACAGCTCACACAGGCAGTAAGGAGGGGAGCCTGGATTCCTGTGCGGGGGGGTGTGCAAGGCTCTCAATCAAAGCTCCTTCCGCCTCACTGTGTTGCCTGCTCTATAAGGACAGCACTGAAGGCAGCACAGAGGACGGACTAGAGAGGGCACCCCCAGCTAGAACGTGGCTGGCTTGATAACTGAGATGAGACGCTTGTCCGGGTACCGAAATTATACTTCTAGGATTGAGTACACGAGCCATTAAAACAGTATACTCAGAATCTGAGGCTTCAGATCTCATCAGGCTGTGTTTTAACTTGCCATAAACAATAGAATGATATATTCCCAGAAAGACCAAACCCGCACAAGAACAGATACATTAAACCGACTGCACACACAGAACAGTCAGTGGAGAGAGAGCTCAGCCTTTCCCCATCCCAACTGAAAAGTGGGAAAACAGAACCCAAATGCTAAAGGACTTGATGAAAATAAAAAATAAGATCGCTCCAGCTGGAACCAGGCGTGCTGACTTCTCAGTGTTCAATCCCTACAGCTCTGCTCATGTTGTCCTGCCAGGTCTCCAATGCAGTAAATAAATTAAACCAACGGAGGGCAGGAACTAATAGAAACCCACACGTTAAACGAAAGACTTCTCTTAAACTGATATATTGCACTATATCGCACCAGACACTCTCTAGACTTCTGCAAGCAGAGACTAGAATTCAATTGATAGTATCTTCTCAGTACTTGAGTGATTGACGGTGAACTGGTCCCCACTATCAGCTATAAAGAGGCTCCCCATCATTGATGGTGTTATCGAAGGGGGTTAGTGTATTTGCTTTTAAAAAAAATGGTGGTAAATGTTAAAACCTCAATCAAAAGTATTATTGAAAATAAATACCTTGGTCTTGTATCACACAATCTGTAGTGACCAGGGGAGGAACCTGGCCTCTGGTGTTGGTGGCATAAACTTGTCCCCCTCTGGTGGCTCTGTCATTCTCGATCACCTGAATCTGATAAATAAGATATCAAGAGCAAGTTAAAGGAAGCTAAGATTCTTTCCAATATTCTCTCCCTCCCACCCTCTCATTATTCACGCACACAAAAATAGGCATTTTCTAAATGCTTTCAGTTCATTTCAAATCAAATTCTCATGAGAACCAACCATGCCCTCAGTTCCACTGTGGCTTACCTTCACAGTTTTAGATCAGCAGTTTCTAATTCTATCCGGTAATACTCTGAGCTCCAACCCTGACCCTTCAGAGAACTTTATTTTTATTCAGTTTTTTTATTGGGACCATAGATAAGCAATTAAAAAAAAAGATTCTGGTAGGAAAAGAAATTGAAAATAGCTTTATTAAAGAAGATACTTCTTGCAGTTAAAGAAAACTCTAAAAGGCTAAAAACCATAAAATTCAGAGGACCCGACTTACAATATATAACCTAAAAAGCCTTAACTAGTCTCCTCAAATCCCTCTTGATCTTCAATTTGCCTTTCAAGTTTCCCCACCACACTCCTGCTCCTTGAGACACAAGAAACAAACAATATAAAGTGTTCTCACGTGGGTTCTGCCTATGTATAAAATCAGAAGAAACAACAGTCCCTATATTTTGTCATCTAATTTGGAAACATCTTATTCTTTACTAAAATATTTATTGATAAAGAATACAGAGATATGAATTTGTCTTTCTGTTGTAATTGTCCAGGGATGAAAATAATGAGCAAAATCTAGTAGTATGGAGTTAGGAAGAAAACAAGAGGGAATCCTAATAATTATCTTCCTCTTCTTCTTTACCTTCTCCCAGCACTCACTTCTTTCATCACAGGATAAGAGAGATAAGAGACAAGGGGTAAAAAAAAGAAGGGAGCAAAAAGAGGGAAAAGAAGGAGAAATGAGATGGGTGCCAGACTGGAACACACAGCGTTGGAAGATATGCAGTTTTTTATATTCCTAAAGAAATTATTGATAACATGCAAACTGTCTTCCCCAAACTCTGAAATGTTACCTTCTCCTCTTCCTCTCCCATCTCACCCAATCCAGGCCCAAGTTGGCACTGATATCATTGGTTTGATGGCATATCAGAGATAGATTTAGCCTGCCTTTCAATCTACACAATTTCTGTCTCTCTAATTTCATAGGACTTGAATTCTTATTAAATTAAGGATATAGAATATGCTCCAAAAATAACTACTGTTAAGACACAAATGAGACTAAAAGCTACCATGGGCAGAGACAAGAAGCAAACAGAAAAATCAAAACACTATAATTGCTTATAGATTTCAACCACAAGGTTAACCTGGGTCATCCAAAATGGGAGTAGCTTTTATATTATCAACATTAATTATAATCATTTCAACAAATGAAGTGTCAAATACAAAAGAAAGATAAAGCCATGATAATCTAGATATTGAACATAGTTCTTGGTCTTCAACTAGACTATATTTCAAAAAGTTTATTTTTAAATTAGCCATTTGCAACTTACCAAGCACTGCCTCCAAAGAACAGTGTCATACGTGGTAATTACATTTCTAAATTAATCCACATTGTGGCTAGAATACTACAGAAAGAGTAAGAAGTATTATAACAGTTCTAGTAATTTTTAAAAATATATTATAGTTTTTTTTATTTGCCTCAAATGCATGCTCTCAAAAAACATGCTTAGGGATTAAACAACACACAGAAATTTCAATGGAGATTTTGTCTGTGACTTGGTACTTAAAGGGTTTCAATTTGAAGACAGTGACTCTTGAGAATGCCTAAGCTACCTCAAAACGTATAGATTTCTTTTTCCCTCAGAAGATGTGCCAGTAGAATTACTTTCACCATTATCTGCTGTACATAGAGTATTCTCGGTTCATAAAACAGAATCGGGAAAGAGAAAAAAAGAATGATTCTCTTGAGATAAATGAGCAAGAAGAGTAAGGGAGAAATGAGGTAAGAAGGTGTGTGCACATCTAAGGTGGGCTGCTTGAGGCAGAACTGTTCGAACGTTGGGTGGTGAGAGAAAGTGGGGACCAGGAAGCGCTCAGCTTCTGCAGATACAGAAAGAGAGTGAGGAAGAGTTTTGATGGAGACACTAGTTTCCTCACCTTCAAAACGTGGACGATACCACCAACAAAAAGGGTTGTTGTCAGCACTTAGCTCGGACTGGCAGGTAACAGGAGTTCAATAAGCATGACTTTACATCTTTCTTTCCAGAAAGAAGAATTTATTTAGTTAGCACAAGCATGTTGCTTGGGTAATAGGAACATAAACGGGTACCAACTGGCATTGCTATTTCATTACTTTTATGACAAAAAATAATACTAGACTGATTTGTATGTATGTATTTTAAGGGTCTTGGATGAATTACAGAAATACTGCTTATTGCTTTTGCTGTTAACACTCATTCATTCATTGAACAAAGATGTGAATGCATACTATGTACCAGGCCCTGTTCTAGGAGCTGGAGACACAGAAGTGAACATAACCAAGTTCTCAGCCTCGTGGAGCTGACACTGTAGTACGGAAGACAGGCAATAAATAAACAAATGTACAAGTCAGATACATGCTATGTCAGGGAGTAATCAGTGCTGTGAGTATGGAGTGATATGGATACGGCCGCCAAGGAGATTGGGGATGAGCAATGAAGACACGAAGGAAATGAAGAAATGAGCCATGCCCTGCATACAGCCAGGGGAAGAGATTCTAGGCAGAAGAAAGATCAAGTGCAAAGACCCTGAGGCAGGAGTATGCTTGGCATGTTTGAGGAATAACAAGGAGGCTAGTGTGGCTGAAGTGATGGAGAAGACGGGTAAGAGACCAGGTCAGAGAAGTTTGTGTGTGCGCAGCAGGAGGCATGGGGGAGCCAGGGGTGGCAGATACGCAGGGTCTTGCAGCCCACTGTAAGAACTTTGGTTTTTAACTCCAGGACTACTGGAGGGTTTTGTTCTGAGCCATGACATGATCTGACTGAGAATTTCAGTGGATCATCCTGGCTGTTGTGTGCAGACAGGAAGGGCAGGCAGACCAGTCAGGAGACCCTTACAACAATCCGGGTGGATAGACAGTAAAGGCTTGGATCAGGACGAACTCATAGAGCAGGACCAGGACCAACAGAATGAGCTAAAGGACCAAACGTGAGATGTGCAAGAAAGAGAGAAGCAAGGAAGACTCCAAGTTGTTTGGGCTGAGGGACTGGAAGAATGGGGCTGGAATCTGGATTTCAGGGAAAACGTCTTGATGAGGAACATCTGCATTCTCATTTAAAGCCATGAGAATGGATGGGATCACTTAAAGCAACACTTCCTAGTGAGCCTAAGAATCATCCAGAGAGCTCGTTAAAACACAGAGTCCAGGGCCCTACCCTAGAGATTCTGACTCATAGGTCTGGGGTGGAGCCTGAGAACAAGAATTTCTAATAAGCTGCCAGCTGATGTTGATGGTGCCTTCCTGGGAGCACACTCTGAGTACTGTTGACCTAGAGAGTAAATGTGGATGGAGAGGGGGACAGGTCCAAAGATTAAGCTTTGGGACACTTTTAACACTAGGAAGTCAGAGAGGTGAGGTAAAGCCAACAAAGGAAACAAGAAAGAGCCACCAGTGAGGTAAGCAGAGATGTAAATGAGTGGTGGTGTCTCAGAAACCAGACGAAAAAGTGTTTCAAGGAGGATGGAATGAACAGATGTGTCAAATCGCTGCTGCTGTGTCGAGACACATGAGATCTGAGAATTGACCACTAGATTTGGTAATCGGAGGTCACTGGAAACCGGGACAAGCATGGTATTGGTGGGGTCGTGGTGACAAGATCTAAACTGAAATAGGTTCAGGAGGGAAATGGAGGAGATGAGCTGAAGACACTTGGTATAGGCAACTCTTTCGGTGATTTCTTGCTATAAAAGATAGCCAATAAATGGGGAGGAAACTGGATAGAGATTTCAAGAAGGGCCAAGGGAGGCTTCTTTGATTAACAATGAGAGGTGCTGAAGGATGTTTATATTCTGATGAGAATGATTTAGCAGAGAAAACTTGAAGTTTATCTTCAAATAAGTATAGATGATGCAGGAGACAGGGGATGTGTGGTTAATTTTATGTGTCAACTTGGCTAGGCCATGGTACCTAGCCTTGGTGGAATAACACCTAGTTTTTGGTCGAATAATAGTCTAGATGTTGCTGGGAAGGTATTTTTAAAAATGTGATTAACACTTGATCAGTCGAGTTTGAGTAAAGCAGATTACCCTCCACAATGTGGGTGGGCCTCATCCAATCATTTGAAGCCCTTAAGAGAAAAAGACTGAGGGACCCTGGAGGAAGAGGGTGTTCAGATGCCTTTGAACTTGAGCTGCAAAATGAACTCTTTTCCATGTCTCTAGCCTGCTGGCCTGCCCTGCAGATTTCAGACTTGCCAGTCCCCACAACTGAGTGAGCCAATTCCTTAAGATATCTCTTTCTATATAGATATACATCCTACTGGTTCTGTTTCCTTGGAGAACTTTGACTAATATAGGGGGACATTTGCTGGAGAGTCGTTCTTAGGAGGCCATAAGGACGGGATCTGGGGTACAAGCTTTTAAAAACTCCACCAGTGATTCTTTCGAGCAGCCAGGTTTTAGAATCACATGACTACAAGTTCACCTTAGTTTAGTGGTCATGAACTGGAAATGAGACTAGTCAGCATGGTGTGCATTTTCTCAAGTCACATTCAGCATTTGAGGTGTAGGCATGGAATAAATGTACAGCCGGTTTAACAACAAATGGGATTCTTCTAGACGAATTCAGTAGAGGGAGAGGGGCAAGGAAGTTTGAGAGTAGAGGATGTAAGAGACATTTATCATCATGGATCACATAATCTAAGCTGCATAAGAGAACTGAAAAGATGAAGGCAATGTGAGTCAGAGATAAAGTGGTAGGTTGTAAGTCTTGGTGGGTGAATTATTGTTGGAGTTTGAGTCCTAAAGGGAATGAGCTAAAGAGACAGGAGGCAGTGGTTGGAGAACAGGATGCTTTCAACCAAGATTTTGAAGGTGTACCATAATTGGTAATGACAGGATCTATGGTAGGACTATGGACAACTAAGGTGGGGTAAATGAAAAGCACATTGGAAGCAAAGATCAAGAATTGAGAGGCAGGGAATGAAAGCTTTTATGGATGGAGAGTAAAATAGCCAATAATTGTAACAGAAATAGTACTGGAGAGATTAACAGTGAACTTGGGGCTAAAAACTTCAGAGAATGATGCAGAATGACCCAGAGAGTCTGCTGATGCTATACACAAGCCGAGAAACAAGAAATAAAAATGAACTCAATGTGCCACAATACAATCATGTGCCACATAATGACATTTTGCTCGACAGACCACATATATGAGATTAGTACCATACAGCCTAGGTGTGTAGTAGGCTATACCATCTAGGTTTGCGTTAAGTGCATTCTATGATGTTTGCACAACGATGAAATCGCCTAACGACCCATTCTCAGAACATATCCCCATCACTAAATGACACATCACTGTATACGATATTTCTTTACCTAGAACAATGAAATAATATTAAACCATGAAAGTAACGGCTGGTAACATGATTATCAATCAAGGCACTAAGAGTTATTAAAACTTAATTTCTAACATGTTATAGAATGAGACTTTATCACAAATCTTCAAGTTTATATTCAAATAAATATAGAATAAGTGGTAAATTACAAAAATAGCCAAAATCCTCCACCCCTCCTTGTATCTGTGCCCCTTCTAAGCACTTTGCAGCTCCTCCCATCGAGAGGCAGAATATATTTTTCTACCCCTTGACTCTGGGGTGGTCTTGTGACTTGCTTTGGCTATGAAAATGTCATGGAAGTGGCAATGTGCCAGTTCCAAAACAAGACCTCAACAGGCCTTGCATATTCCTACTGTCCCTTTTGGATATCTTCCATTGCCAAGTGAACAAACCCAGGCTAGCCTGCTTGGTGACATAGCTCAATCATCTCCAACTAACAGATGGGTCCCAAATACCAGACACATGAACAACACTATCTGTAGTGGGCTCAACTGTGGTCCCCCAACCCCTGAAAATATATCCATGTCCTAATCTTGGAAACCTGTGACTCTCACCTCATACAGCAAAAGAATTGATTAAATTAAGGATCTTGAGAGAAGGTGCTTATCTTGAATTATCTGGGTGGGGCCTAGATGGAATCACCAGTAACTTTATAAAAGTGAGGCAGAGGGAGTTTTGAGACGGATGTCCAGAGAAGACACAGAGAAGAGGAAGAGGCAATGTGATGACAGAGGCAGAGATGGGAATGATGTGGCCACAAGCCAAGGAATGCTTGGAGCCCCCAGAAGCTAGAAGAGAAAGGAATGGATTCTCCCACAGAGCCTCTAGAGGGAGCACAGCCCTGCCAACTCACTGATTTCAGACTTCCAGCCTCTAGACCTGTAAGAGAATCAGCTTCGTTGTTTTAAGTCACCCAGTTTGTGGTAATTTGTTACAGCAGCCACAGCGAACTCATACACCATCCTAGACCACTCAGCCTCCAGCTAAAACTCCAGCTGATGGCAGACGCATCAGCAAGCCTGGCCCATATCGGTTGAGCCTGGCCTAGATTAGGAGAACCGCCCAGGGAACCTACTAACACAGGAGCCCTAATAAATAGCGGTTGTAAGTTACTAAGTTTGGTGGTGGTTTGTTACACAGCAAGGGTTAGCTAATGCAGCCGCTCTTTGTGCTCCTCAGTCTATCTAACTTTTTCTACTCATGTTGATAGAACGACTTCAAAGACCAAAGTTAACTGTGTCAATTTCATGATTATTCCAAAAGTACTCAACATCCTGCTCATTGCCACAAGACCTGAAGTTTCTCCTGAAGGAGGACTATACATCCCTGTCCCATTGACATCAGGCTTTGTCATAGGACTTGTTTTGGCCAAGGGCACATGAGTGGCTGTGACATGCACCATAGCTGAGTGGAAACTTTACCAGCTATTGCACCTTTCGGTCAGTTCTCTTCTTTTTTCCCCTTTCTCATGAGAATAACATGACCCCATTATGGAGTGCCCCTTCACCCAGGACTCTGGAATGACAAGGGCACGTAGAGCTGTACTTAAAGCCAAATTGCAACTGCTGCAGCCTACATGTAACCTAAGAGATAAATAAATCTTTGTGGCCGTGAGTAAAGCTGGGGACTGTTATGCAGAATAAGCTAATAAAAGCTGATGGATACAGTTACTAAAGAGTAATCCTCCAAAGAAAGTTCCTTGGGTGGAGATGAATTAAGTTATAGCTCTAATTTTATATAAAACAATTTTTTGCTTTTTTAATATGCAAAATGTAAAATGCTTTGTACTTTCACTCTCTATGGGCCTCTTACCCTTATTGAAAAAGGTCCTTTAGTTATTTAAAATAGCATGTTTACATACTCTTCCTACGAACTACTCATTTAAACATCAATAAATACTGCCAATATAATCATCAATAGATACTACCAAGTTTATATGATACCAAAAAAAATAGACATAGGCTGTTTCTCTCATGGAGACCCCAGCAGGCCCTAACCCATCCTCCCTGCCACCACAAGACACAGACAGAAGGAAGCCTTCTCTATGTGACGGGTGTTGTGCTTCAACAATAAAGGACAGGAGAGATGCTTACACACTGAAGAGTTTCTGAGAACAATGAATGAAGAATGGTCCTTTATGAGGGAGACTGAGAGAGTGAGAAGAGCACTTACTGGACTGGGGATAGAGTCAGGATCCAGCTTCTTCTGGGGCTGGGGTGGACCGGCCATCTGTGCAGGACCTCCGGGGAAGCCCCCTGGGTAGGAAAGCTGTGCGCCTGCCATCTGGGGGCCATAGTTGGCTGCGTGGAAAAAATTTAAAAAGAAATGACCATAACCTCCAACCCCAGATGTAGGACTCACTGATATCATCATGCTGTTCAGTCAAGCACGCTACATTTCTGATCTCTTTAAATAAGGCAAGGTATTAGGTGTGAACATCTATGATTCCCCTTTTCTTTGCACTTGCCACACTATTCAAAAACTATCCTTCCTTAAAAGTAAGTGACAGATGCCTAGTAATATAGGAACAAAGCTGATTTCCAGTGAAGTATACTCCTAGGAAACCCACACCTGCCTCTGAGTCCTGCCCGCCTTACCCTGCTGTGGAGGATATCCAGCGCCCAGGTTCTGTCCTGGAAGAGGCGGGGGCTGGTACTGGGCATTCGGAGGAGCAGGCCCGGGGAGCCCGTCCTGCCTGTGCGTTGACGGAGGCAAGGGGGAGGCGCCAGGGCCGTTGAGTGCGGTGGGCGGTGGTGGGAGAACCTGAGATCCAGGCTGCAAAACGGATGGCTGTGGAGGTCGTGGAGGACCCTGGAACGATGGTGCTGACAGAGGGCCTGGGGGCCCCTGGCTGGGGGGAGCCATGCCTGGACCTGTGCGAGAAAGAAGACCAGCCCACCTAAACACCACATTTCTCAACTCTCCAACTTCTACAAAGTACACAACAGGGACGCTCGCTTTCCGGATACGACGCAAGAAGGAGCAAGAAGGCACCCTTACAAACTGCTTTTTTTGCCATGAGATCACAAATGCTATTTGGGGCATTTTAACTGGACAATTTAAAAAGAGTAAAAGCAATATTTACAATTATAGGGAGAAAATTAGTAGGATAAATTTTAACTCAGTTGTATTAACTTTACATGATTACATGCTATTAATTAAGGAATTGTAACTGGAACAATGGAAAATCATATAGAAGAATATTTTATTGCATAACAAGCATCATTCAGATAACTTACACATTCAATAAATTATTTGCAGATACGGTCCATAAATGTACAAGGATTTTGGAACTAGGTACAAATAACCAGGGAGAAGGGATGGACCTCTAACATGCTTTCCAATCATCATGGAAATAGTTGTAAAACCAGATTATTTTTTCCTTACTCATTACATGAAATTACGTGGCTGCTTGGAGACATATCCATTTTGAAATCAGTAAAAGACAGAGAATATTCTGGGGATTTTTCACTGATACTTCTAAAAAACTAACTTTCAGTAATGGAAACATTGTTCATCAAGACAAATGGCTGACTACACTGTTCCTTCGGTGGAGGTTCCTATGGCTTCTGTATCACACAGCCTTTCTATTGATGTCAATCTCAGCACCGTAACTCTTTTCCCCTCCTGTTATTCTTTCTGCCTCAGGACATCTGAGCTTCCATTCTTCCCATGATCTAAAGACAGAATTACACTGCGCTGTGAAACAATGAGTATCATATTTTTATTTTAGGGCCCCATCATAAACAACACAAGGTTAAAACTACCCTCATATTTCTTAAAATAATTTAACTGTTCTAATGTTTATTTGTGAAGTCAGCATTTTTTTGTTTTTTACTGTTCTAGTATTGACTGTAAGGTATTCTGAGAGTCCTTCAATTAACCTGAAGTAAATGGCAGCATGATCAGGAAAAACAATTAATTACAGCCATACATAATACAGATGATTTATATAAAAATGTCCAAAAAACTATTTCAATGTCGTGTGCCAGAGTTACGTGTATTTTGAAAATGAAGAAAACCTTTCTCATTAAGAATATTCATGACACAAGGCAGTCAATGAACACTAATAATGAGACTGTTACCATAGCTGTTGACGTGCATAGCATTGAGCTGACTGCCCAGCTGGGTGACGGATGAAGTGGACACAGGACTTGGGTAAGACGATTGTGTAGAGGGTGAATACGGTGCGTAGGAGGGTGCCGCACTGTGGGCAGGTGGAGGACCTGGAAATCTAAGAGAGAAAAAGCTGGTTAAATAATATCATAGAGTTTGATATGCAAATAACATACAACAAATGTCAGCCACTCGTAAGATTAAATAAGTCCATCTAGTGGGCACCAGGCAAATGACTGCTATCATATGCTAAGTCTTTAATTAATGTGGATGTGAGCTCTAAATGAACCATGTAGCATCATCCCTATCTATGCTCACAGGCTGAACATGTCAAGATACTTAGAGAAAAAAAAAATTCCTAGTGTAAACACAGAGCCAGCTTTGGAAATCAATTTGAGAAGCTGAGCCCACCACAGAGTTAATGATCAATAGAACAGAAACCAAGAAAATTCAAATGGTTGGTGGTTGTAGCTTTATGACTATTCTCCTTATAGCCTACCCAGCCTTTGAAAACAAAATTTCACTTGCACTATAACTTCAGTGAGCAGGACACTGCCTACGAAATAGTACTTGAAAAGGAGCAACCAAGTAAAAAGTTTTGAAATTGCTCATTTTCTTCAATCTAATAATTTCGTCATGTTTTACCTTTGACGTATTTTGAACTTATTGTATGTTTATTTTTCCTTGTTTTCCATGAAGCAGTGACCACCATCTGATGAGCATTCCTATTATGGTTAATCTGCCAAATGAGGGTAAAGTTTTCCCTTAAGAGTCACATTATGACTTCTTATCAATTTTAAATTTTACATAAAAATTAAATTTTCCCAGCCGGACACCCTGATTTCAATTTCTCTGTAAACTGGAAATGATTTTCCCAGTGGCCCACACTCTTGTCTTCCATCCTTCACTGCCACAGAGAGGTCAGGAGCAGAGCCTGAGAGGCCAGGGGCCTCCTAAAGTCCCACAACTCATTTGTGACAAAACTGGAACCAGCCTTTCCCCAGGTCTTAATTGAGTACACTTTCCAAAACATCACACTAATATTCTCTTGTCATTTTTCTCTATAGATCTTAAGTTGAATAGTTACTATAAACAAAACTTAAAATTTATCTTCAAACCATTACTCTGTATGGTATTAAGCATATTTCAGAATGATGATATCCTAAACTTTGAGTTAAACGGATGAATGACCAAAACGCTTTTTCTATGTAAGTGTATAAGCTATCCTATGGCAGAAACTTGGTTTTAAAGGGTTATAAAGTTAGAATGGATAGTGTTTTAACTCAAAAAATATTGCTAAGCAAAGCTGTCAATTTTTTCTCCTGTCAAAAATGGAAAAAAGACCAATGCAGTTAGACTGAGCATCCTTTGATTTAAATAATTTTGGGGGAGAAAAACTGAATAAAGACAGAAAATTATAAAAGTTAACTTTTGGGGCTGGCCCAGTGGTGTAGTGGTTCAGTCTGTGCACTCTGCTTCGGCAGCCTGGGGCTCAGCAGTTCAGACCCTGGGCGCAGACCTACACACCATTCATCAAGCCATGCTGAGGTGGCTTCCACATAGAAGAACTAGAATGACTACAACTAAGATATACAGCTATGTACTGGCTGGGGCTGGCCCCGTGGCACAGCGGTTAAGTTCGGACATTCTGTTTCAGCATCCCAGGGTTCGTTGGTTTGGATTCCGGGTGCGGACATGGCACCGCTTGGCAAGTCATGCTGTGGTAGGCATCCCACATATAAAGTAGAGGAAGATGGGCATGGATGTGAGCTCAGGGCCAGTCTTCCTCAGCAAAAAGAGGAGGATTGGCAGCAGATCTTAGCTCAGGGCTAATCTTCCTCAAAAAAAAAAAACAAAAAACAAAACAAAACAAAAAACTATGTACTGAGACTTTGGGGAGAATAAAAAAAAGAGGAAGATTGGCAGCAGATGTTCGCTCAGGGCCAATCTTCCACACCAAAACAACAAAACAAGTTAACTTCCACGGTAAAAGGTTTCTTTATATCTCTAATCTATTAATGACACTTAGGGGTGAAAAAGGTGGGGCAAAATATAACTCTAGGCTTACTTGACACATTTAAAATAGATTGTGCTCACTTAGAAATGATTTCAAGAATTGTGTTAAATATATGCTTTGTAAACCCATTGTTTCATAAAAAGATATTTCTTTTTTTCAAGAAATGATACTTTTTGTCTTTTTAAAAAACTCAGTCATGGGGGGTAGATATATGGAATAATTCCACACAGGCAGACTGTACATGCTCTGTAAGAATATATTTGTGGTGCAGCGTGAAACACGGTTACAGGGTTTGGATCTGATGAGCAGGAACTGGAAATGACTGGTTAAATGGGGGGAGGCGTGTTATTCAATTGTTTGAGTTAAAAATTCCCAAAAAGATGTTCATAGATATTTCACAAATGTTAATACTATTTTTAAAATATAAAATTGTATGAATTATTTATTACATAGTATAAATAGGATGAAATATGTTTCAAATACAAGTAGCCTCAAGTATCATTTTTTTAACTTCACAAAAGGTTAAAGATTTAAAATATATAATGAGAGAATGTACAATCATTAGCCATTACTCTTTGACTCATAAATGCCTACTTCTCATTCATTGCTTAATATATGTCCTGGGGTTAGGCTTCAGAAAGTCACAAATAAATTTTTCTTTTTTCTGACCAACTTAAATGTTGTCAATCAGACTTGAATTTTAAAAGCAATTTTATCAACTTAAAAATAAAATGGTATTAAAGGGCTAACACAAACTCTCATACCCATAAGGGAAAACAGATTAACAGAACATTTTAAACATACAAAGGGGTTTAATATTTTTCAATTTCATGACTTTACTAAATTAGTTTATCCAAGGTCATACAGCCTGTGAGTGTCGGAGCTTAGGTAAGAATCCAGGTCCTAGGACCTCCTGGCCTGGAGACCAGGTGTGTGACCACGGGCAAGCCACCGAACCTCCACAGCTCTCAGCTTTCAAACAGTAAAAATGAGCCAAAGGAATGGACCGATCCCTTTCTCTGCTATAAATATAACGTGGTTAAAATTAGGAATCATATAGACAAATATTTCTTATGTTGATTACCTCATTTAACCTGTTTCTGGGCCGAGAAGCACTCAATTGTATATTTTAATTTACTGCTTCACTGAATGTCAGAAAAGGGCAGATTCACCATCAAAAAGAACAGTCAATAAAGAATTACTACCAGAGGACTAATAAAACATGAAAATTGAGCCTCAGTTTAATCCTAACCCTCTGCAGAGCTGACTCAGTTGTCTGTGGCCTGCTCAACCTCAAACACTTCTCGTTTCAAGTTTGCCACAAACTGCTCAAGAAGTGGGCTGCATGCTGAAGTTTGTTAGAATGTGCAGATAAGGTGCCAAAATATTCAAGAGTTGATTGAAACAAAATCTGGATTTTTAAATACAAAGTCCAAAGAGAAAACAAAAGCTGTGCCAAACCATATCACTGCTTTCCACAAACAAAAAGTTAGAGAAAACAACTACTTCTCTTATTTTTCTTGCTCCCTCCTTTTCCATTACAACCAATTTCTTACCCAGGAGATCACACCCATCAGCCTGATTTCAGGAAGATGAGTCTACTATTAGCCCCCAATTCATCATTTCTCAGTCAAAATAGGTTGCTTACAATTGACTAAATGACTTTTCCTCTTATAATTAAAAAATGGATTTTTAAGTTGTACATTTTATTTAGTAGTTACCCAGCCAGTAACCCTCTGAAGATAACTTTCATACCATTTATGAGTTTAACGTAAACTTAATATAAATATATTAAACTAAATGTAAGTTTAAATAAAAGTTTAAGTAAAGTTTAACAAAGTTTGATCTTGCCTCAGCCAAGATCAAAAGGACACATGACTAGGATTGATTTTTAAATTTTTTTTTTTTTTTGAGGAAGATTAGCCCTGAGCTAACATCTGCTGCCAATCCTCCTCTTTTTGCTGAGGAAGCCTGGCCCTGAGCTAACATCCGTGCCCATCTTCCTCTACTTTATATGTGGGACGCCTGCCACAGCATGGCTTGCCAAGTGGTGCCATGTCTGCACCTGGGATCCGAACCAGTGAACCCCAGGCCGCCGAAGCAGAACGTGTGAACTTAACCACTGCGCCACCAGGCTGGCCCCTGAATTTTAAATTTTATGAAATATTACCTTTGAAATAATAACATTTTAAAAATAAAAATTATACATTTTAAATTTAAGTCAATATAATGACTCCAAATCATATCTTGTTTTCATTCAACAGTTTAGATCCAGTAAAAATTAAGAGACTTCTTTGATGAGTCTCCTAAGCACAGACAACTCCAGTGAAGTGCCATAATCATCAAAGAAAGGGCGTGTGGGCCATCTGTGCTCTCTGACAACCCTGGCATCAGACGGGTATGATTTCACCTGTCTAATCACGGTGCCCTTTGCCCTTGCATTGAACTATATACACAGAAGTACGTGCCAGGAGGGCAAGGCAGCACAGTAATCTGAATACTAGACTTTTCCCTGACTTTTCCGTTTTTTAACCCCATTTCCAACCTTCAATTCATGGTTCAAGTTGACTCAAGTGAATAGTGGAGGAGAGGGGGAAAAATCTGTCAGTGTTTCCCTGGAAATCACACTAAAAGCAGATTCCTAAATTGAGCTGCCATGAGGAGCTGGTAGGTAGGACAAGCTACAGACATCAGACTTTCTATATCCAGTGGAAACGGCATTGATAACAGGTAACACGGACTGAGCCCTTCACGGGTGCTGTGCACTGTGCAAGGTTCTGTGCACGTCTTGATCATCAACATCCTCATAACCACATTATTATTGTTACACTCGTGAGGAGGAAACCAAGACACATGGAGGTGACTTGTTCAGCTAGCGACTGCCTGAGCCAAGAGTAGCAAAGCTGTCCTGACTCCACAGTCTGCGCTCTTCTTCAGACGCTGTGCTGAGCTCACAACCACACAGCCAGGGTCTGTCTGATGGCAAAGTCTGTGATCTGTTTACTCCTAAGCAGCCTAACTCGAGTGAAACAAATGGAAAGAACCAAAAAGATCAATCCAATCTAGGCTAATACCAGTGACCAAAGCTTTTCTCAACTTCAAAGCAGCTGTTCAATCTTTGCATTTCTTCTGAATAAAAATCTGAGATGCTTGGCAGTTCACAACAATGAACTTTTCCAGATCTTCTTCCCTCTACTCTGGACTGAGAATTCCATTTGCTCATTTTACAGGTGAGGGAAATGAGGCCCAGAGGCCCAGGAACGTCACCAGCATCACACAGCTGGTTAATTGCTGGAACCAGAAGAGGCTTCTTGGTTCTCAGTCTGTCTGCTCTCCCCTTGAGCCCCACCACCACACCTGTGAGATTTGGGGCAGGGGGTCAGGTCCCCAAGCAGGCCTTTGACTTCTGGCTCCTTGCTCAAACCACAGTCACACATTGACCAAATTACTTAGATTCATCCTCTGTTGCCTACATTAGCCTTCACTCTGCATTTCACAGCTACCATTTCAATGGCAAATGTTATCACAACAAACAAGAGCCAGGATACATCGACCTCACAGATGCCCTGTGAGAGAATCAACTGGCTGATTTAAAAAGTTCCAGAGGGAGTTTTCCCACTCTTAGGGACTATAGGCTCCTTGAAAAAGCAACTAAATGGCTTTACCATTAGAGGGGTCCAGATTCACACTGGGAAGTTACTCCTCCCCCAACTACAACCCTGCAGCCTAACAACCAACCAGGGAAAGGAAGCTGGGGAACAAAGCCTCTGGGCACTCCTTGGAGAACCTCCCAAGTAAACACCGTCTACAGCCTGGCACTGGGATTCTCAGCAACACCTCCCAGGACAAGCAACAATGGGATCTCCAGCAGGGAAGGTATGATGCTGGCTTCTTCCCAGGGGACAGTGCCGAGTGGCTTGCAGGGCTCCAACTTTTCCCTTCCTTAATTTCTTATAAACACAAACCAAAGATCTATTTCCTGTGTCTTTTTTAACTATCATCTTGCCTCTTAAGAGTCTCTCACTGGCATCTGTGTGCCTTCCACATCAAATCTACAGTTTACCACTGGCCACAACCTCATATCATTTTTAAAATATTTTTATTAAGCACCTACTGGCATTGAGCCACTTCTGACTTCAGTTCTCTGAAGGATTCAAGAGAACAGGTGATTTAAAATTTTACTGAGGATCACAGGCCATAGACAATGGAAGGAATTAGAAATTAATACAAAATTCTAAAATAAGATGAATATAACCCAAAACTAAAATGTGTAGCATTGATAAGAGTAATTTTTTATGTTATTTTTTAACATCTGGTATTGGTTTTTTTTCTCACTCCTAACTTTTCTAAATCCTTTGTTTCCTGGGGCAGTTTTCTAGTAGATCCTTCCAAGGATGTGAGCGGTATCACGAGGTCAAACTGTCAATCAGTAAACACGCAAGTTTGGCAGAGACACGTGAGACATTTTTAGTAGAATCTACAAATGAAGGTTGGAAGCTACCCAGCTCACCTTTGGGGAGGATGACCTTGGGCATGAGCTCCATTCTGGCCAAACTGATGAGGTCCAGGAGGTGGAGGACCCTGAGGCATCATGCCCCCAGGAGCGGCAGCCCCCAAAGGCCCTGCTGGCTTCATCATACCTGCAACGGAAAGCCGAGAATTTAGAAGAGTATGAACGTGCAAGAGCGGATGCAGAGACATCAGGTGAAAATGTAGTCTAGGAGTGGGAGGCAGGGAAAAATGGGTGAGGACGAGTTCTCCTTTTTTTTTTCCTCCCCAAAGTCCCAGCACATGGTTGTATATCCTAGTTGTAAGTTCTTCAGGTTCTTCTATGTGGGATGCCGCCACATCATGGCTTGATAAGCAGTGTGTAGGTCCACGTCCAGGATCCAAACCAGTGAACCCCGGGCCACCAAAGTGGAGCACGCAAACTTAACCACTACACCACCAGGGGGGCCCCAGGGCCAGTTCCCTTTGAAACTTGTTTTAACGATCACAGGCCTATCAATGCCAGGCTCTGGCATAGTTATTTGACCATCATATGATAGGAGAGCACAAAAGAAAGGAAGCATTTTAACATGAAACAGAAACTAACACAGAAGAAGTCGCCTTTGCATTGGTGGAGGCACCTTGATGGAACACACCATCACACAAAGAATGCCAGAATACATGATGAAAAATGCCAGTTGGATATCAGAAAATAAATCTAGAAAAAAACCAGTATGAGGCATCATAAAGTGTCCTAACTCTAAGTATGATGAAAAAAAAAAAGACTTCTAAAAATGCCTTTATTTCAGTTATAGCATGAGGCAGGCAAATGGAGAGCAGCATCTGTTTCTCCAGCAAATCCAGAGCACAGCCCTCAGAGGTAATAATTTCTCCAGGATCCCCAGTAGTGGGGTGATAAACAACTGAGGGACCACTCAAGTCATCACACTCACTCATACAAAATACAGGATCACAGGCGATTACTAGATGCTCCTGGCAGTGACTGTGTGCTCACTGACAAGCAGTTCTCAGAGATCTTTAAAGATTTCTCCTTCGGATTGTTCTCAGACATTTTTCTCTTTTCTTCTAGAGAAATGGTGGTACAGGAGAAAGATCATTGAGCTAGAAAAATCACTGGAGTAGTTCCAGGTCCCACCCGGCCACTTACTAGCAGCTCAGTGGTGCTGGGCAAGAAGTTTATCTTTGAGGAGCTGTTTCCCTTCACTGCAAAAGGAAAGGCTTAGTGTAGATCCCCCATGACAACCCTTCCAGGCTTTTAAAATAAAAAGAAGAAAAAGTACATTTCTTCTATTTGCTCTCTCCATTCGCATCCTACTTATTTTTGCTCCAGCCCATTCAATTGACTTTTGACCCAACCCTCCTCCCGGGCACCGTCATCAGTGGACTCCTAGCTGCCTTCTGTGCACTGCTCCGTCTGACCTCATCACGGATTTCACACTCAACATCTCTTTTGTTCTTTTACTTTCTCTAGAAAGTTTATTCCCTCAGACAACAAGAGAATTGCGTGGAAGACCTGGCAGTGGCCCGTGACGAGTTTCTTATAGTGTCATCATAATATATTCGAGAGCATGCTTTCAAATGCTTGGGTAATCTAGAATGAAATATAACCAGTGAAGTGGCAGTTTTCATGAATAATAATATTGAAACTTTTATGAAAGTTTTCTTCTCTTAAAACAGGATTCCTTAAACTTAAGAAAATTTTTATATGAACTTTACAGTCACAGTTTTATTTAGCAAGTGTTCAGATACCAAGAACAAAAACAAGAAATATTATTCTCATAACACTACATTTTTCTATAAAGTTCTAAACCCCAAACCCAGCAAAGTTAGAAAAACATGAGACTTGCAGTGACACAGACTTCGGTTTGAATTCCTTCCCTACCATTTAAGAGCTGTGACCCTGACAGGATAGTTTGATCTTTTGAAACCTGGACTTTTAACACTGTGTCATGGCAATAACATCCCCTGTCTCCAAGGATTGTTCTGAGAATTACATGAAGCAATAGGTACGACAGCATCCAGAACAATGCCTGATATATAAAGGTAACTACTCAACAAATCTTAGTTTCCTCTCCTGGCCATATCCCCTGCCCTCCTTTTTTCAAGGATTTATATTCTAACAAGATATATACACCATAATCACATGCACACTTGCATTTTTTAAAACATTATTTGAACATTCATTTAAACATTATTTTAATTTGAACATTAATCTGTTCAAATTAAATTAATTGAACATTAATTTAAAACATTATTTTGAACAAAGTAGAAAATTCATAATACTAGTGCTAAAATAGTAACTACATGCATTACAAGATACCAAAGATATTCTCATTTCTTAAACAAGTAGGTAAACAATTTAGTCAACAACTCTCATATGTTTAGAGAATCAAAAAATAGTTCTCAGAGTTACTCATGTTTGGTTATTCGCATGGGTATGCACAACGCACGTTAATAAACTTCTGTTTGTAAAACAAAAACAAAAACTAAAAACAGTTCTCATATGCTCAAGCAGAACTGTTTTACACCAATCTTACTGAAATGCTCTTTTCTTTTATTTTTGGAAATCGGCTCTATGGTAATGATTTGAACTCATTCTCGTTCAGCCTACATTCATGCGCCTAAGAGCTCTCATGGCAGAGACAGACACGTAAACAAGCAGTTGGGGTGCCATGTGAGGAGCATCATGAGAGGCAGAGGGACTGCCTAGTTCTTCCTAGGGGAGTCAGGAAGAGTTCAAAGAGGAAGGACAGCTGGAGCTGACATGAAGGACAAGCAGGCGTTTTCTTAGTATAGAGACAGGATAGAAGATTCCAGCCAGAGAGCAAAGCTTGGGCAGATGTGAGAGAGCATGGCGTGACCACAGACTGGCAAAAGACTCGGCATAGAGAGATCGTAGGGGAAGATGGCTGGAGCTGAGGGTGTCCAGGTTGGTCGGGGTCAGACCATAAAGTCCTGTGTCATTTGGACTCTAGCCTCAGGGCAAAGGGACGATGCCAGTATCATTGCTATCTGCAAAGTCATAGTCTTCCCCTGGCCACATTACTAGCATTTTCAAAACTGATCAGAGGTAAAGAGAAATCAGGTTCTTTATACAGTAGTATGAGAATTTTAACAGGAAAGGAAAACTATACCATGAGAAAGAACTAACTATGCTTATACCACAAGAAAAATATCTAAAATCACAAACTGGTTTTTAACATAGTGGTAGATACCACAGACTAGCTTACCCAATACCAGTTCCAATTCCTTTCTGGCTTGCCTTTCCGTATGGTCCTGAGCTGGAAAGACAGGATCTCCATTTCTAGACTCCCTTACAAACTGGGTTGCCACGTGATCTAAATTCAGCAAAGCAACCTAGGAGAGACTCTGGCCAGGGGGCAGAGATGGTGGTCCTGGAGTAGAAAGGCAGTCGATGCTGATGGAATAGTCCTGCATGATACATGCGTTTCTATAGATGGCATAGTCCCAAGCCTGGTTCTCTAGCTCTCTAATAATATCTTAGCTTCCGGATACCCTTTAACAAATCCCTTTCCACTAGAGTGGTTTCCGTTATTAGCAAAAGAACCCTGACCAAAACAACATCACAAAAAAAGCATACTGTGAATTTGGCCCTGGATCTGACAAACTAAAACCAAAATTAAAAACCATTTGTGAAAAAAATATTAACCTAAAATAGACAAAGATAAGCTCCCTGTTTACGGGCAGAATCATAACGGCTATCATTCCCGAGGCACTGCAGTGGTGGTGGTGTGCCTATATAAGCTCGCTGTTTACTACGAGCCTCCCCACCCATCGCACTTACCCCAGTCTCCGGACATCAATAGTTCTTGCCTCTCAGCTTCCAGACCAGTGGTCCTCAACCAGGGGTGATCTTGCCCCTGAATGGACATTTGGCAATGTCTAGGACTTTGGGTCGCCACAGCTTGGGGGCAGAGGTGGCAGTGGGAGAGGGAGTAGTGGTGTCTAATGGGTAGAGGCCAAAGATGCTGCTAAATGTCCTATAATGCACAGCACAGCCTCCCACAGCAAAGAATTAGCTGGCCCCAAATGTCAGCAATGCTGAGGATGAGAAACCCTGCTCCAGAGAGCAGTGTGCCCAGCTCTGATTCCTCCTCCGCACTTTCTAAAGTGGAGTGTAACTCCTAAAATATGTATGGGACCACGACCCTTCCCAGGTGAAAACGCTTCAATGGCACCCTACTGCCCTTAAAATAAAGTCTAAATAAAGTCACAAGATGGCCCCACTTTCCACTCCAGGCACACCTCTCACTGCTGGCACTCTACACCCCAGCCATGCTCAACCTTTTGCAGGTCCTCGGAAGTCACATCTCCCCACCACATTCCCCAGCAAGGTGCCTCCATCCCTGGCTGACTCTGGCGCATCTTTCAACTCATTCCCTCCAGAAAGATTCCCTTCACCCACAAGTCTTGGTTAGGTGTCCCCACCGGGTGCTTCCATACCACCCTCCACTCCCTTGATGACAGTGCTCCCCTGAATTGTAATTGTCCATTTACTTAATGTACATCCCACTAGATAAGTAAGTACTCTCAGGATCAAGATTAAGTTTATTTTATTCATTGTGATATCTCTACTAGTATTCTGCTCACTCAATAAATCTGTTACTATATAGCACTAGGATTACAAAAACACAAGTAAGAGGCACAAAGGGACATACGGTATGTGAGAAATACAAGCAAGAGTTAGCACTGGCCAGATCTGTGGTAGAAGACATCCTTCAAGGAACCACAACGAGGCTACCTGTCTGTCAGAAAACCAACAAGATGCCACCAGAAGACTAGAAAAGAAGGCACATGATGATTGAAGATGAAGACATCTAAGGCTACTCAGCACTGAGAAATAAAGGCTAAGGTAATTTAGTGACAGCCTTAAATAATTAAACAAAACACCATAATTTACAGAAAGGTAGAGTTACACAGAGGCTGACAGCCTGGTATCCATCTCAGAAGGAAATAAGGAGAAACAGGTTTAATTTAAAGCATGAAGGATTTAATCTAACAAAGACAGTTTTTTAAAAATATTTGGTAAACACCAGAGTGTTTCGCTGATGAATGCCACGGCTTGTCATTCACTGGTTTGTTGAATAAACATCTCATGAGGGCCTCCTCTGCTCCAGGGACATCTATTATAACACAGTGTACTAAATGGTAGAGAGGCCTGCGCAGGTGTTATAAGAACACAAAAGGAGAAGAACATTTATAAATAAGCTTGAGGAAGAATCGTGGTCAGAAATGCCTGCAAGCACAACACTCGAACTGAGTCTGAAGGACGAGCCTGAGGACAAACCCTGCTGGGAGGACAACATGGAGGCACGGAGGCTTTCTGGTGGCATGGAGGACGAATCAGGGCACAAGCACAAACTAGCCCCCAAATAACTAATAGCTCAGCATCACTGGAGTAACATTGCGGGAATGCGGCACATGAGCTGAGAAAAAGAAAATAGGCAAACTAATGAAGGCCTAAGGAGCTTCAAACACAATCAGGGGCAATGGGAAACCATAAAAGGTTTTAAGCAAAAGAAAGTCAAAATTAGATTTGCATGCTATAAAAATCCCTCCAGCACAGGACTGGATTGTTTGTAGCAAGGCAGTGCTGGAGAGAGGGATAATGGTTAAGAGACCATTTTAGTAATCCAAGAGAGATGGATGGTTTGAACTATAAGAGTGACAGGGGGACAGAAAGGAGGAAGCGGGTAGGAAAGAGGTTTATGATTATCCAAACGAATTAGGGAGACCAACTGGATTGAAGAAGGTAAAAGGGAGAGATTTTTTACATAATGAAAGTTTCCAATTTGCCTAAATGAATGAGTGAGATATGGAATACCAGAAAAAATACTGAATTGTCTTGGACAAGATAAGTTTGACGTACCTATGTAAACAGGTGAGCAACGGAAAATATGGGTCTGGAGTTAGGACAGACATCTGGGCTGCAGCAATAGATCTGAGACTAGCACTTCATATGGGAATGACACAGCTTAGGGAAAAATCTATGGAGTGAGAGGAGAAGAATAAGGATAGAACAAAGAAAGAGAAACAGCAATGCTTAAGGGTCTCATAGAAGAAGGGGAGCTCCTTAGAAAAAGATCTCCAGAAAGCCACCAAGAAAAATAGCAAAAGGATAGTGTCATTGAAATCAAAGGAGAAGAGAGTTTTTACAAACAAGAGTGGTAAACAATGTGAAATTCAAAGAGGACAGGACAGTGTCTACTGCTTTCGGTAAAAGGAGGCCACCGATGACCCTGGTGGGAGAAGGGAGAGGGTGATGGGGCCCAAGCTTGGAGTGGAGACTGTACTGAACAATGGAGGGACAAGAGGGGCAAGGATGGAGAGCCAGGAGTGAAGTAAGTGCTTGTTTGAGAAGATGACTGTGAAGAGAGGAAGGAACGGGCAATAACACTGAGAGTTACACTCAGGTCTTTATTGGAACTTGTTTGTTTGTTTTCTTGGGACTTCTGGGTATGAATCCTGTCTAAGCCATTAGCTCGTGATGCAGTCATAGTATATGACTGGGTAAGTCATAGTATACCAGACCTTCAGTGTTCTTAGCGATAAAATCAGGGCTAACAATCTGATGCATACCACTATATAAGGATTAAACAAGATAACACACGTAAAGCTTTTAGGACCAGTTTTTAACATATGGTAAGCACTCAAAAAAGAATAATTTATAATTATTATTGTATATAAATGCTGAGAGTGAATGGACCACGAGATAGAGATAAACTGGAGAAAGATGAGTTAATGGTTCCTATAGAATCCAGAAAGGCAAGATGCAAATGTTACAGGGAGGATGGGTCCTGGGAAAAAGGAGGTTTTTAAAAATTAGGGGCAGACTAAATCATAAGGGTGGCTTTCCACAGGAAATTCACAGTCTCAGAGCATCTTCTGCAGCAAACTGTGTGTGGCTGCTCCCATTAAGCCTCCCACACAGTGCTTTCCTCACCTGTGCTGTCTCTGTGCTCCATACGTACATCCACCACAGCCTGGATCCCCCATGTCTGAATGAGCCCTAGGGAGCCCCAAGAGATACTCACTCATATACACAGCCCACGCTGGAGCTGAATTCCTCAGCATCCTCTCAGAAGCCCCAAGAACTGTCTTACACGAATACTTTCAGGGAATTTGGGATCATCACATCTGAAACAAGCTAGTATTAGCCTCACCTCTGACCCTGAAACTTGGTCTCTTAGAGCAGCCCCTTGATAAAGGGAGGTGGCCTCCTGGTGTCAAGTACCACCAGAGCTATACTTGTCCCACTCCATTCTCCTTTTATTCCCACCTCTGCCCTAAAAGCCAAGATTCCTTGCTGGGTACCTTATTTGAAAGCAACCAATATCGTTCAATAACGATTTTAAGGCAAGGCCAAGTTTTTTTTGTCATTATTATCGTTGAATAAACTTTAGTGTGCAAATCTAATATTTTTTCAATATCAAAATTGATTTTATGATTGCAAAAACCACTTTAGTGTGTGTGTGTATCTATGTGTATATACATATTTAGTATATATTTAGTACATAACATATATATATTTACTGTATAATATATACTTAGTATATATAGTATATATATTTATATATATATAAATTTTTTTATTGGATGTTTACAATAACCTTACACCACTGATTAATAGCAAGAGCAAGTCTAACAGTAAAAATAAAACACTCAGGAAACCTCTTTGTTTTAATCTATATTTAAAAACCAAATTCGTTGTAATCCATGCAGTAATCAAACCAATGATGAAGGCTTCTTCTTTGGGAGCCTTTTCTAAATGATCCTATAATCTCAAGCCATTGGATCATATAATGACCACTCAACACTCCCAAGCTGCTTTTTCAGAACATCTTATGTCTCTAAGCCTTAGAAGTCAATAATCACATAAAGTCAAAATAACGCACTTTACCTGGTGGAGGAGCTGCATGAGATGGGTCTCCATAGTGTCCATAATTCGGTGGAGAGAGGCCTATTCCAGGCTGGGATTGAGAATAGGGGGGTGTGGCCACATAACCCTGTTGACTCATTATGAAAATATCATTCCAAGGGATGGTTCTACAAAGGGATGGTTCTGCAACAGAAGAAAAAAAATGTCAACAAAAGGTTTGAGTCACTTAATGCTATTAAAAATATAAACACTGTTAATAAATGTTTACGACGGTTTGAGGAAAGGTACAATTATCAGGTACATGAGACATCGTCATATTATACAATATATCAAATCATTATCCCTCAAAAGGCTCTTAACTATAGCTCTATGGAACTCAGTAACTCACTTCCACATAGTCCTGGGCAAATTCTCAGGCATGAAATCTGAGTAACAATTGCCAATCATTTTTTCCTTGGAAGATGGAAATGTTTCACAGATTGTCTCTTATAAGTGTATCTACTATTTCTGTGCCTTTGGTTTCCACGGCCCCATTTCAGCACAGAGCATGCCACTGGCGATAGGCACGTGTCATTCAATTGACTGACTAGCAGAACTGGCAGGAGTCTGCAATCAAATGTCTTATGACTTGTGTCATTTTAGTGCTATCCTAATTAATCATTATAATCAGGCAGTTAGGACAAAGAAAAATCAGTAGTCCAACAAATACAACAGAAGATAAAGAAGTTGATAATGGACTTATTTTATGAGTGATAAATTGACCAAGCCAGGTGGCATTGAGAGTTGTGTTTCTCAAAGATGACAGACTTTCTGTCTGATTTAAATATCACACCTCTAAGAACATAGGCACATATATTTAAGGAACTAGAAAAGAAGTGCGATTTCAGGTGTTTAGACACACACACACTCACAAAGACAACAGATGCATCTTGAATCTACTCAGAAGCTAAACATCAATTTGTTTTAATCTTTCCATTTTTTTTCCAGGTTTCACAAAATAACAAACATTTCACAGAACAGACTATTCTCAAAAAATTTTTATAACAGAAAAAGCTCTGAATCCTCAGAAGAGAAGCAGGATTTCACTCCAAATCTGCCAATACTTAGCTGTGTGGCATGGAACAAGCTGTCTTCAGTCCTCTCTGGGCCTCAGTTTCCCCTAACAAAATGAAGCCTCTAAAAGCCTTTCTGGATATAAAACACGGATTCTACAGTTTCTCCTCAGTTTCTTCACCCAGCGTAGGAATATCCTTCCTTTTCTTATTTTATGGTGCTATCTTTTAAGGTAAAAGATCAATGATACCCGCTGAGATGTGAAATAGATAGACTCAGGAAGCAGCATTCTCCATTTGGTTTCATTTTCACATTAAACTATACGTTTCCAAAATTAAAGCAACCAAGGAAAAATGTTATAAAATCACTTTCTTCTCCGTGGAAGGGGAGTACTAACGAGAGGAGAGAGTGGCAGAGGCCTGCCGGTCCACCTTGTTCCTGACAACGCTTTTCCCTCCTCCCACTTCGCAGAGAGAGACGTGGCAGCCCGAGCTTTGGTCAAGCTCATCTAAACAAGCGCATTTAGGAAGTCAGCAGGAACACACCTACGTAGCAGCCTGTTGCTGAGTGACAGAGAGGGAAGGCAGGGATGTTCACTCCGAAGAGCAGGAAGCAGCCGGGTCTTTCTTAACCGGTCCTGGGAGGAATTTGCTTCCTCATGCAACCCAGCCTGCCACGTCAAACTTCCTCACACAGAGCACCAAGTTACAGAAACCTGAGTCAGCTGCGAGCGGCGACATGGCAAGAAGCCACTTGGCACGAGCAGGCCTAGGATCAAAATCTGGGGAGCTCCAATCCCAGAACCACCCCCAGCCCACTGTCGCTCGACAACTCTAGGCCAGGTGCACCTCGCAACCCGGACGAAGGGCAGATGTGGACAAATCAGGTTCGCAGTCAGGATGTCCCGGAGCCTGAAGATACAGTTGCCATTTTTACTATGGATATTTCTAACATTCCCTTCCTCCAAAAAAAGAGGAAATTAAGTTGATACGGAAACGAGAAAACCGCTGGCAGTGGCGGGGGAATACTGTGGCTACTGAGGACCCTATTCAGGCAGTTCCAGCATCCCAAGACACAAAGATGGGGCGGGTAAAAAATGCCCACGCCCACCCCCCAATCCGCCCCCCATTATTAAACTGCACGAAAGGGCTAAAGCAGCAAAGGATGAGGTCTCCTCCGTTGCCCCTGCCACAGGTGAGCATCCAGCCCCTCGCCACCCCCATCGCAGGCCGGGCACCGCACCCGCTCCAGCGGCGCCTGGGGAGGGGGCCGTCCCGCCCGAGCGCAGCCAGGCTGGGCGGGCATTACCTGCTCGGCTCCGCACGCCGCCGGGCTTCCGAGAGCCTGCGCTCTGCTCCTGGCGCCGGTTGCCCCCAGTGACCCGGCTCCCGCTGCGGCCGCCGCTCCCGCGCCTCGCCCGGCCCGGCGTCCCCACAGGCTGCTCTCGCGCCCCGAGTTGCAGCCGGGCTGGGAACTGCCACGTCAAACCCTCTCCCTGCCGCGCGCCCCCGGCGCCGGCTCCGACCGCCGGCCGCGCACCCGCCGGCGCACGCGCACAGACGGCGGCTGCGGGGGCGGGCCCGGGGCGGGGCCGGCGCGCTGCCGCTCACCCTCCCATCTTTCTCTTTACGCCCTTTCCTGCGTGGTTTTTTATTTTGTTTGTTTGTTTTTTCCCCTCCAGCGGGTCAAAGATTGTAACGCAGTTGCTAAATCGCAGCCACATTGTCACTGTGGAGCCCGTAGGAAGGAGGGAGTGCGTACTGAGAGTTCATTCATTCTTTCATGCAACAGGTTGCAGGTTCACCTATCCATTCATCACATATTACTTGAGTAACTACGACATTCTAGGTACTGCACTGCCGGAACAGGAAGGTGCACCATTCCGGACCTCGAGGAGTCACAGTTTAAAGGCAAATCTGGCGCGTGTGCATGGACAATCTGATGACGTGCTCGTGCCCCGCGCTCAGAGGAAGGAACGCCCCCGGCAGCCTGGCAACGTGTAACACAGGGAGGAAAAGCTGTTTCAACCGAAAAGTATGTGGGAAGAGGTGTCTGCATGGACGCTGGGATGGCTCCTCCAACGAGTGTCCACATATTCGTTGTCTGTGAAATAGGATGGCTGGATCCCACCCCAAAACAGGGATCACTAACTAAATGTCTAAGCATCCAGCACTTAGCTCACAGTACTGTGAGAAGGAACTGAGAAAGACAGCAACCTACGTGAGACCTGGAACTTGACTTCTCTATCTAGCCTTAAAAATCAGCACCATCTGCCTGGTTTCTCACACTCCCACTGCTAAATAGAAAGGCCTTCAACGAGCCGTAGTTTGGTATAGCTACCGCTTTGCTCAAACTTACAAAAGTAAAGCCAAATCAGCGTTTTGTTTCCAAAATATACTTTCTTCGGGGCTACAAGAAAATAAAAGCTACTTGACAAATTCCTTTACTGATGAAATATCTAGGTTAAAACTTACGTGTCGATGAGGCTCCTGCTGAAACGCTGCTTGAGTGTTGCAGGCGTTTTAAGTTGTTTGAGCGTGGTGAAGACGAGTGGTGCCTCTCCTCACTCTCCCTTTATAAGATTTTAAGGTGTGACGCCCTGCATCTGTGCAGCTTCAGTACTGGTCAGGTTTAAAAATCCACAACGGTTTAAATTGGTTTCTTCTGTTCTCAATATGATGAAAATGTTTGATGGAGTTTAGGAAATTTTGGCCAGTGTTGAAGCAGTACAGCTTGCAAGAGGAGCAAAAAAAAAGTTGTATCACAGCTATGTCACAGTGTAGGAGAGAGGAGAGTCACTTGGAAATAGGAACACCATGTGATGACCTGGTTGGCTTGTTGTCCTGCGAAACAACTAGATTTGAACTTGTAAATTCCTTCCACGCCTTCCTCAGGGGCTCCAGGACCACTTGTGGTTTCAGTTCTAAGTTTTGAATTCCTAAATGTGCAAAGCTGGAAGAGATTTCAGAGATATGGATATTCAACTCAATATTCAGTGAGCACTGAATTCAATCCAGTCATTTTACAGATTAGTAAAACTGAGGTTTAGAAAATGAGAATGACTTACTAGTTTTAGAGATTCTGATCCTAGCTCCAAAGCTCTTTCACCTCATAGTTTTTTCCTCTTTGATCCTTGATTTGCCATTCTCTGTTAGCTGATTCTGCCTTTTCCTCCTGTGATGGCCTTATATTTCAAGCTTTCACATAACTAAAATATTAATTGACCACACAGTTCCAAGAGAGATTGGAGTTACTAATCACAAGTCTCTTTTTCTTATAAAGTGGACTTTTGGTTTCAGTCCTGCTTCCCTTTTCATGGCCCCAAGTGTACACCCCTTCAGTGACTAACTTAAGTTAATAAGTGACCTTATTCCTGTGGTTGGGTCACTGGCCTGCGCCAGACTCAAGGTCAGCCTAGATTCCCAGTCTTCCTTGGTCAGACCTGCCTTGCTGCTGCCTCAGCTCAGCCTCTGATGTTCCACAGGTAATTAACTTGTTCCCTCCAGTAACCATATCCTCATCGAAATGTGAGGTCATGGGGAATGTCCATGTGCTGGGGTTCAGTGTTCTTTCAGGTCTTTCTGTTCTAACTTTAAAAAGAAAAGAAAGCAGAGTCAATTCTGTAAAAGACTATATAGAAAGAGATGGCAATTCCTGACAGTACTCAGGGTTCTTTGGAAAGTCAGAGCTCTGATGCTCTAAGCATTATGTAACTTCAGTTTGGAGGTTTCTGATTCCAAAGCTACAGTTTGAAGAAGCTGTATATTTTAAAAAATTGAAATGGCCGGGACCTAAATGATGTTAAATACTTGGAAGCACAGTAAATAAGGCCAAGCTAAGTGGGGTTGGGGTGAGAGATACATGGTAGACTAAGTTGAGTGCAACCAACAACAGTGACAGTAGAGTTCAAGTGGTCACCAGGCCCAACACCAGGGCGTTTCTAGAATTACTTTTTTTCTTTTTTTTTTAATAACAGCTTTTTTGAGATAATTGACAATTCACCCATTTAAAGTGTACCATCCAATGGTTTTTAGTATATTCACAGAGTTCTACAGCCATCACCACAATCAATTTTAGAACATTTTCATCCCTCCCCAAAAACCCTACCCTTCAGTATTCACTCCTCTTTGCCCCCACCCTACCCTCCCAACCTACAGCCCCAGGCGAGCACTGATCTACCTTCTGTCTGCATAGGTGTTCCTATTCTGGACATTTCATATAAATGGAATCATGTAGTATGTGGCCCTTTGTGACCATCCTTTCCCTTAGCATAGTATTTTCAAGATTCATCCCTGTTGTACTACGTATCAGTACTTCTCCTTTTCATTGTCAAATGATATTCCATTGTAGGCATATAGCACATTTTATTTAGCCATTCATCAGTTGATGGGCATTTAAGTTGCTCCCCACTTTTGGATGATGAATAATGCTGCTGTGAACATTCATGCACAAGTTTTTGCTTGGATATATATTTTCATTTCTCTTAGGAACCCCAAATAAACGATGTACTTTCAAAAACAAAACAAAAAACACCCCAGACAGTCTGGCTCCAAAGGCTGTGCTCTTAGCAACTATGCAACATTGTCATTCTGTAATTTTTAAAATAAAATATGCAGTGCCATTTTTAAAATAAGATATGCAGTGCCATTCCCCTAAAAAAAGAAAATAAAGGGGCTGGCCCCGTGGCCGAGTGGTTAAGTTCGCGCGCTCTGCTGCAGGCGGCCCAGTGTTTCGTCGGTTCGAATCCTGGGCGCGGACATGGCACTGCTCATCAGACCACGCTGAGGCAGCGTCCCACATGCCACAACTAGAAGAACCCACAACGAAGAATACACAACTATGTACCGGGGGGCTTTGGGGAGAAAAAGGGAAAAATAAAATCTTTAAAAAAAAAAAAGAAAAGAAAAGAAAAAACTAATTAAAATAGAAACCTGTGGTGAGAATTATCAAGAAAAAAAGGCATAAATAGAAATATTAAGAATAAGAAAATCTGACTTCATTACAGATACTAAGACAATAAAAGGTAAAAGAAAATTATGAATAACTTTATGCCAATAAACTCTAAAACTTTAGATAAAATTGTCAAATTCCGAGGGAAAAAAAATGTAATTTACCAAAGCTGATTCAAGAAGAAATAGAAAAAAAAAGTTAAACATACTGTTACCAAATGACCGTGCAATTACACTGCTAGGTAGAATTACCTTTAGAATAGCTTGAATATCTTGCTGAGAATACTGCATCACTTATGGCTTTGGCCATAGTGGGCAGTGTGACATCCCACTGCCAAGTCGGATTGACTCAGGTTTTAATCCTGACACTGTCACTCGCTACTAGCTATGCAAGTTTTATTTATTTAACAAGTACTTCTTAAGCACCTACTCTAAACTGGATACTGTACTAAGCACTGTGGATACGAAGTCAGATGAGACACTCTTCTGGCAGTTAAAAGTTCATGGAATAGTGCAGAAATCGGCAAACTACAAAATCTGCCCCCCCCCCCCCCCCCTGTTTTTGTACAGCCTGCGAGCTAAGAATGGGTTTTATATTTTTAAATGGCTGAAAAAACACAAAGGAAGAATAATATTTTGTGACACATGAAAATGATATGAAATTCAAATTTCAGTATCCATAAATAAACTTTTATTGAAACACAGCCATGCTTTTCATTAACAATCTCCCTGTGGTTGCTTTTGCACTACAACAGCACATTTGAGTGATTGTGACAGACACTATAAGACCCACAAAACCTAAAATATATCCTACCTGGCCCTTTACAGAGAAAGCTTACCCACCCCTGATCTGGTGGAACCTACAATTACAGTACAGTGGATTGGTGTTCTATGAGGGGACACCAGTTGCCGTAAGAAAATGTAAGAAGGCACACTAAACTCTGACTTGGACAGTGAGAGAGATCTCCCTGTGGAGCTGGCACCCGAGCCAAGGCCCTGAGGACAGGAATAAGTTAGGCAACAAAAGGAGTGAGGGCAGCAGGTCTGGCAGGAGCAGGTCAAGGAAGACGAGGAACATCGGCGTTCAGAGGAGCGAGTAGTCCAGAGCACCTCCAGCGTGGGGTTCTGGAAGAGTGAAGGGAGGAGTCAGGTCAGGCAGGTGGGCCAGGCGAGCTCATGGAGTCCCTCAAAGGCACTGGAGAGACAAAGATTTTAAGCAAGGGAATGACACAATGGGTCCCCCCCCGCCGGAAAGATCTGTCTGGAGTCAGTGAAAGGATGGAGCAGAAGAAGGGCAAGAGTGGTGGGGTGAAGACCAGTTGGGAAAGTGTTGGCAACAATCCAGGTAAGAAACCTTGATGGTGGAAGCACAGGCAGTGGATTGTGCATGGAGAGGCCAGATTCCTATAAGGTGAATCAATGGGACTGGGTACAGAGTGCGGGGGTAGAGAGGCAGAGTGAAGGTGACCGCGCTCGGACTTTTCATGGGGCAGAATTGGTGGATGAATGGTGGAGCTATTCAAGGGACTGGGGAACGAGGAA